GCTTTCCTGAGCGCCAACTACCTGCTGGCCCCCAGGCAGACCCTGCCCCTGCCCGCTAGGGACTTTTGGTATCTCTGGAGTGACCAGACACATTTGAGCTGATTGGAGGCTGGGCTGTGCAGACCCCCGGTGGCCTGTCTGGTGGGTGTGGGTGGGGGTCTCATGCGGATTTGCACAATGTGGGTGGATCTGTCTGAGGAGTCAGAATGGGGGGATCACTGTGGACCCTAAGACGTTTGTCTGGTTTTACAAATGGGCCTATGAGCCATTTTTAATATTTATTTTTAAAATTCTTAGTAAAATATGCTCTAACAATATTGACCATGTTAACCATCGTTGAGTGAAGAGTTCAGTTGCATTAGGACTCAGTGGTTCTCAACCTTCCTAATGCCACGACCCTTTCATACAGTTCCTCATGTTGTGGTGACCCCCAATTTCATTGTTACAAATCGAACATAATTAAAGCATAGTGATTAATCACAAAAACAATATGTAATTATATATGTGTTTTCCGATGGTCTTAGGTAACCCCTGAGAAAGGGTCGTTCGACCCCCAAAGGGGTCGCGACCCACAGGTTGAGAATCGCTGCAGTAGGTGCACTCACACTGTGGTGAGCCGTCACCACCATCCATCCACAGCACTCTTCATCTTGCAAAACTGAAACTCCACACCCATTGAACTCTCCGTTTCTCTCTCCCCAGTTCCTGGCAACCACTATTCTACTTTCTGTCTCTATGAATTTGACTCCTCTACGTTCCTCAGCTGAGTGGAATCATGCAGTATTTGTCCTGTTGTGACGGGCTCATTTCACTTATCATAATGACCTTAAGTTTCATCCATATGATATGTATCAGGATTTTCTTCCTTTTAAAATTTGAATAAAATGATCCAATTTTTTAAAAAGTTTTACTGAAATATAATTTGCATGCCATACCATTTATTTATTTCTCAGTGTATAAATTAATGTGAGGTTTTTTTGTGTATGCACTGTTATGCAACCATCACCACAATCTAATTTTAGAACATTTTCAACAACCCCCCAAAATAACCCTACCCATTAACAGTTTCTCTGCATCGCCTCTACCACAGCCTTGGCCAGCCACTAAGCTACTTTCCGTCTCTATAGATTTGCCTATTCGTTTTATATGAGTAAAATCACGTTGTGGCCTTTATGAGAAGAGGAAAGTTGGACTCACAACGAGACAAGAAGATAGTGCACACACAGAGGCAAGGCCATGTGAGGGCAGTGAGAAGGTGGCCACCTGCAAGCCAAGGAGAGAGGCCTCAAAATGAAACCAAACCTGCCTTCACCTCGATCTTGGGCTTCCAACCTCCTGAGCTGTGAGAAAATAAATGTCTATTGTTTAAGCCAGCCAGTCTGTGGTATTTTGTTACAGCAGCCCTAGCAGTTAACACAGTATTGTTATTGGGTTGAATTCACCAGTGAAGTCATCCGGACCTGGAGTTCATTTATGAGAAGGTTTTAAACTAGAATTGATTATTCATTTTTCTTTAATAGATATAGGCTATTTCCAGTTGAGTGAGTGTGTGTCTTTCAAGGAAATTGACTATTCCATCTTAATGGTATTATCTTATATTCATTTTAATACAGAAAATTACAAGTAATAAAATAAAACCATCAGGTATTCCACTGCCTAAAACCAACCATTACTAATGTTTTGCTGTGTATCCTTCTGATAATTTTTATATATATGCATGCCAACCTTCTCATTTCCTCCCCCCTTTTTGGTTTTAACAAAATTGCTATTACCCTTCATATCCAGGATTTTGTTTTTGGTATTATCAAATCTTTAAAAACATTATGGGTTATGAATGGCTGATTAATAACTGGCTTAACTAACTCCTAACTTAAGTTGCTTCTGATTTTCGCGGGTGCATCACATAAAACACCACAGTCAATATCTTTTTCATCTGTGCCGTCATCTTCGTTTACAGTTCCCAGAGTGGAAATACTGGGTCGACCAGTTTATTGACTTTGGGTATTGAGCTCCCTGTGCTTGGTAGGGGGAAGGCAGAGAGAGGGAAGAGCTGATCCCCCCACTTCAGGGGCTTGCCCTCTGCAGACCAGCCCAACCAGCACAGCCAGTGGGAGTACCGGACAACCTGGCAACAGGGCTGTTTGGAGGCCTGCAGGGGTCCCCACCCTGGCGGTGGCCTCGTTGGCACAGATCTAAGTGGCTCTGGGTTACCTACCAGATGGAGGCTATATCGTCCAGGTGCGGGCTGTACAGGCCTTACTTCTTAGTTCTTCTTCCTTCGGAGGCTGTGGTATCATTACGAGGCATATGCAAAATGGAAGCAAAGACCGAGCCAAGCTTTGTGCAGACAAGTGAAGGCAGAGCCCAGCCTCCTCCCAGCACTCTCAGTCCTAAGGGAGCTCCCAGCCTGATGAGGCAGGTGCTGTCTCTGGGAATCCCCGGGCTTTGGAGGAAATAAAGTCCCTTGTTCCCCAGGATGCCCGGTCTGAGTGAAGCGTCAAGATTCACACACGAGAACGTGCACAGGCACCTACAGAGGAATGTACTGTGTAAGCAAGTGTAAATGAACACCGTCCCTGGCCCGGCGTGTGCCTGGATGCAGTGGGGTTTCCTAGAACTTCTGGGAACGAGAAGGGCCTGGATCCATGGAGAGGACGTTGGGCAGAGGCAGGATGGGGGCTGGGAGGAGGGGGATGACCTGTGGGACAGGCTGGCCAGTTGGTGTGATAGATCCCTAAGAAGGGAAGCCCCAGAGGGTCCCTTCAGTCCCTTGTCAGCCACTTAGGGGGCATTTGGGAGAGCAGGGCCAATGTGAAGGTGGGGGGTTACTTGGGGTTTTAATTTCCAAGAGTACGCTTCTCTCCCCTGCCTTGTTCCTCTTCCCACCACCCCAGTTCACCTCAAGACTGGAGAAGGACCCTAGCTGGTGTGGCTCAGTGAATAGAGCATTGGTCTATGGACTGAAGGGTCCCAGGTTTGCTTCTGTTCAAGGGCACATGCCTGGGTTGTGGGCTTGATCCCCGGTGGGGGGCGTGCAGGAGGCAGCCGATCAATGATTCTCTCTCATCACTGATGTTTCTATCTCTCTTTCCCTCCCTCTCCCTTCCTATTTAAAATCAATAAAAATATATTTAAAAAAAAAAAAAAAGACTGGAGAAGGAGCCTGGGCTTGGCAGCAATCATATCCTTCACTGAGTGCCTACCCCATGCCCAGGTGGCATAGCACCTGCCACCTGTCCAACCATCCTCTCTCAGGGAAGCCGGTTACATCCAGTCCACAGCTGAGGACACAGGGGCCAGGGAAGGGAACTATGCTGTCAGGGTCTCCGAGCCGAGCTGCGGGGGTACTGCAGTCAGAGCCTCATCAGTGGGACTATGCCATCCTCCAGGGGCTCCCCAAGCTCCAGGCCCCTCTGCTCCTCTCCTGTCCATCTTCCCCACATGCGTGCCATCCTCTATCAAGGGGCACATGGCACCGACTCCCAGGCTACGAGGCTCTCAACCTGAAGCCACTGAGCCCCCTAGGGCACACCTGTGATGCCTGGGGACATTTTGGCTGTCAGACTTGGTGGGGAGGGGGCTCCTACTGGATCTAGTGTGGGGTCAGGGATCCGCTCAGCGCCAGAGGCGTGGGGCCGCTTGCCCGTGGTGCGGGTGGGGAAACCCTGCTCCGGGTCGGGCAGGCTCACCCTCCTGGGGGCTTCGTGCCAGGTGCCTGTGCCTGTGCCCTCCGTCTTGGCCAGATGTGGGCACCAACACGTTGCAGATGTGGAGGGAAGCCTACAGACAGGCACCTAGCCACCTGGAGACCCTGGCGAACATTCTCTGCTTGATGTTCCACCCAGTCTCTCTTGAACTCTTGCTCAACTACGCCTCGGCTTTTGGGCTTCTGTGTTTGTCTCTGTTTTGTCCAATTTTAGGAAGAATCCTGTTAAGTCAGTTCAGCCAGCATCCCCCTGACCCCTGATGTTTCCTGTCAGTATTTTCCATCCACCGACACCCATCCTCCTCCTTGGTTATAAATTCCCGTTTCTCCTTGTTGGAGTTAAGTTCAATCCCTCTTCCCCAAGGGGTGACCCCTCTGTAATGGCCCCCTTGAGTAAAGTCTGCCCCCCTGCCCTGTAGCAAGTGTCATTAAATAACTTGAACATCCTTTTCAGATGGGGATAGAGAGGACTTTGGACTAATATTTTTTCAGATGCAACGGGAGGGGCCAACCCCTGGCCAGGTGCACAAACCCCCACCCTCTGCAGGCCAGAGCCCCAGGGGTGGGGACTTCACCAGGCAGCTGTGGGCAGGGTGGAGGTGGTGGTGGGAGGGAGGGGGTGGAGCCTCCTTTTTCTAGGCCATGTGTCACCAGCCTCCTGCCCAGGGGCACTGCCCCGGCTCGATCCTGCCAGTGTAGGTGGCAGTGAGAAGCTGGGGCCTACTCCCCAGAGCCTTTGGAGCAGATCTCGGACCTTTGGAGCTCTATGTCGCTGGCCCCCCAGAACCCTGAACATGGCAGATGGGGTGCAGGCCAACCCCAAAGGGTTCAGAAAGACGGTGCTGGTTAGACACCCCTCTGGGTGGAGGGGCCCTGATCTTAGGGCCTCTTCTTCAAGGACCTCCAGGTACGTGCCTGCTCCCTGGGGATAGAACCTTCCATGCAGAGCAGCCGGGATGGAGGTGGGGAACTGGCTCCTTAAATCCACATATCCAGAAAGAGAGCTCTGAGTCTCTGAGGGGTGGCTGAGGAATGTCTCTGCATTTTCAGCACTAGAAGGGCCTTACGGATCTAGTCCATCCTCATGAGGCAATCGAGGCCCAGAGAGGCTATGAGATCTATCGGAGTCACACAGCATTTTAGAAGCAGAGCTGGGACTAGAATCCAAGGATCCAGGTCCCTTGGCTCTGAGTGCAAGACCCAGCCACCAGGTTGAGTCACATGACTTTCTGATCCAAATATGGCAGGGGGTTGGTTCTGATCTGCAACAGTGATCTGACTCCATGAGGCAATGAGCCGACTCCTGCTCGGGGTGGGAGGGGAGAGGCTCCTGGTACCTCCTGGCTCCGCCATTCTGGGGGCTGAGCCTTTGGGAGGTGCAGGGCAGGTAGGAGGTGCTCAGATCTTCCTGGAGCTGCTAATCACAGGGATGGGCAGCAGGAACCACGGCATCAATGTCGCCAGGGTCAACAAGGGACAGCACTGAGTGCATCTGTAATGATAATGAGGCCGGGGCAGGAGCAGCAGGCCTGGAATTGCAGGAAGGAGGAATGGCTCGACTCAGGACCTGGGTTTCGTCCTCTCTCAGATCTAGCCTTGCTTTGAAGTTCTTCACCGTCACCATCCTGGCCAGCAGCAGTGAGTAAAGGCTCTGGGGAGATGCCTCCTCCCCACCCCCCCAGTCACCCCACTCCCCAGGCTTTCTCCCTTGACCTTGGGCAGCCTGCTTCTCCATCCGCTGAGCAGCTGCAAGACCTTGGGCCTGTCCCTTGTCTTTCTGGGCCTCCAGTTTCCCGCTCAGCCCCTGGCAGGCTTCACCCTCTCTCCGGGGCTGCTCATTCCTCCTCCGCCTGTAAACACACGCCACGAGCAGTTGGCATTTACAAGCCTCAAGAGGCAGGGCCCAGAGCTGAGCAAGCATCGTAAAGTGGTGGCATTCACTGGGCGTCTGGGCACCCCAGCACAGCTGGGTGTTTGTGTACTTTGGAGGTGTGTTTGTGTATGTGTGTACATGTAAACAGAAGCTAATGGTTTGTTTATGGACATACACATGTGTCTATAGGTGTGCCCGAGCATACGATGATGTCCCTGTATGTATACATTTCAATAAAGTGTGCATGTGTATTGAGTTGTATGTGTCTCGAGGATGTATAAGAACATAGGGGTACATACACCTGTATGTGGTGTGTATGGAGCAGTGGTGTCTATGTGAGCATATAAAAAGTTGATGGAGCAGGTCCAGGGACTTCTTACCCAGGGTGGTAACCCGGGCATGTGGATCGGGGCCAGCTGAAGCCCCTGACACATATTGAACCCCCACAGGCCTAGACGTTCCGGTGGCAGGTGCCTCGGGTCGATGGAAGATGACCTGAACCTCTCGCTGGCTTTCCCTGCAGCCTGTCCCCCCTCTCCTGGACACGGCCAGCGTGGAGGAAAAGAAATGCCAGAGGCAACATAAGGCTCCATGTGGCCGGACATGAGACAGCGCTGGGTGAATTCGGGCAAAGTGACCTGTTATTTGGAAAATAACCACTGAGTTCAGCCCAAACCACTGGCCAGGGACGGAGCCTCTGGCCCAACTGAATGCAGACTTTGTGTGTGTCTTGCACTTGGAGTGTGGACGTGGCCTTGCTTCAGGCCGCGGATCCCACTCTGGGCGCTGCCCGTGGGAGAGTGTATTCGTGAGGTGTGAGTGTGTGTATGAGTGAGATGTTTAAGTGGTGTGAGGAATTTGTGGGTGAGCGTGTGCATGAGTGTTTTTCATTGACAACCAGGAGATTGTGCATCTGTGTGTGAGGTGTGAGGGTATGAATATGCGTTGAGTGTGTGTAGCAGTGTGCAGCGTGTGAAGGAGAGGATGAGGTATGTGTCTGTGTGTGTCTGTGTGTGCCCACCTTTTGTGTGATGGGCCCTGGGGATGAAGCCACCCCGAGGGGGGTAATGCCTGCACAACTAGAGGATGGGTGGGGTAGGAGGTCGGGGCTCAGGCTGGGGAGTGAGGGGCCAGGACCTCACACAGGACCTCAGGGGCTCTGCACAGAGCGCCCCGAAAGGGAATGCCATTATTGGCTGTTGTCAGATTTAGGAATTGAGGTCAAAGAGGTTATGCAACCTGCCTACAGTCTCACAGTGTTAAACCTGTTTGCAAACCCAGTCCATCCAACTCCCAAGCTGCTTGGCACACATTTTTCTCCAGCACCAAAAAGCCAGCAGAGCAGAGCTAACCTTCCCAGACATTCCCTCCCGCACCCCCTCCCCTGCGCCCCCTACCCCCGGCCTTTCAACAGTCAAATCTCTGTACAGCTCAAGAAACAGGCTCAGGCCCACAGGATGCAGGGTCCCCTCTCTCCCTGTCCCAGGCCCCAGTGTAGACACCTATATAGCTCTAAACCATCCTCTTAAAGTCATCTGTCACTTCTCCCTACTTCTTCCCCATGCCCTCTCTTGTTTGCTCCTTATTCTCTGTAATGTCGAAAATCGCAGAGCCAATAGACAGGGAGACTCTGGTGGGGCAGGATTCCCAACATCAGCTCTCTGAGGGGGCAGGCATGTCCAGCCCAGGGGCCTAACAAGCCCCAGGAGTTGGCAGGGGGCCATGCAGGGAGCGAGTGTCTGGTGCACGCTGGCTCCAAACAGGGCACTACCCCGGGGGAATCCCAGGAGGTCAGTACTAATGTTCCCATTTTACAGATGGGAAAATGGAGCCCTGGGGAGCTGTAGTTATGGGCCCAGGTCTGTCTGTGCTCGTCCCACTAAGGCATGTTGAGATGGTGAGTTTCCTGTCACTCATGATGTGACAGCCACGTCTCAAGAAGCAAGTAGTCTCGGCCTTTGGGATTCCATCCAGTCTCCAGTTTCTGAAATTCTTGGTGCCTCCCTCTCCTGGGACGATTCCTATTCAGGCTGTGGAGGAGGGTGGAGAAAGTGGAGAGAGTGGCGACAGGGTGCTGAACTGGGCACCTAGCCCTGGACCCAGCTGGAGGAGCCCAGGGAGGGGGAGACAGGCAGGAGCGGCCCTGCATGGTGGTGGCATCACAGCTCTGGGGCACACACACCTGGACTCATGTCCGGGCTCAGCCACTCCAGGCTCTGAAACCTTCACTGTTCTGAGCCCTGGTTTGCTCATCAATTGGGGCTAGAGCAGCTCTCCTGCCTGTGTGTGTGTTGGGGGGTGGGGTGCATCACCCAGGTGAGTGCCTGGTGTCGACTCGGCAGTGAGCCAGGAGGAGATGCAGACGCAGCACAGGCCAGGAGGCCAGCAGGCAGGGGAGCGGGGAGGAGAGGCTGTCACTGGGGTGGGCAGGCTGCCAGGTGCCAGGAAGCTGATGTTGCTGGTACAGGAAGGGTCATTGCTCTATTGCTTCCTGTGAGACACTGACAGAGGGAAAGGAGTGTGTGTGTGTGTGTGTGTGTGTGTGTGTGTGTGTGTGTGTGTGTGTCTTCATTGAATGACCAGGGCACCCAATTGTCTCTGGACTTATCCTGAGATGTACCAGCCCCAGGACTGTGGTTGGGACGCTGAGTCCCCGCTAGGGGCAGAGGAGCCAGGCCAAGGCAGAAGGGCCCAGAATCAAACCCCAGCGTCCTGAAGAGCAGGTCCATGTGCGAAACCCTTACAGTTTCCTGACCAGTTGGGCTTTGGGTTCTCACTGCCTGGGTCCAAATTCTGTCTCTGCTGCTTTTCAATGTGTTCTTGGGCAAGTTACTAAATGCTCTGGGCCTCAGCGATCTCATCTGTAAAATGGGCAGCTCCACCACAATAGCCTTTCACCAGGCTGCAGTGAGCACTCGATGAGTTAATGTGCAGAAGGGGCCTAGGACAGTGCCTGACAGGCACTGAGAAGTCCTCGGCATGATGGTAACTAGTATTATTTCCTCAGGGCCACAGGGCTTAATGTAAGGACGTGGGCTATGAATACTCTGTACATGGCTTCCTTCCTCCCGCTCTGCCTGCTGCCCGCCCCCATTCCCCTGGCCCTGGGTGCGGGGAGGACAGCCAGGCGGACAGGGCAGGCTGTGCACAGCGTCCCCTTGGTTCTCTTGCAGTCCTGCCCGCAGCGCACAGCAGCCTGTTCAACCTGAAGACCATGGTGGAAGCCATCACGGGGAAAAATGCCATCCTGTCCTTCGTGGGCTACGGCTGCTACTGCGGGCTGGGGGGGCGTGGCCTGCCCATGGATGAAGTAGACTGGTAGGTTCCAGAATGCCAGGGCGGCTCTCAAAACCGGGCGGGGCAGAGGAGGTCAGACTGGTCTCTATCTTCGAGAGGTGGGAGAGGCCCGTTCCCCAAACGATGAGGCTTGTTTGATGGGTTAGTGACGACGAGCTGACCTTTGACCCGTGTCCTCTCCAACCATGGTGGACACACTCTATTGTCCGTCTCAAAGGTCTCCGGCCTGGAGGCATTTGAACTCCCGCTCTTGCCAGGAAGGAAACTTTGACCTCCCCCAAACACACCCTGATGCTTGACCAAGGCAAGGCCTGTGACCCCTGCCCCCATCACATTGCAGGCTCTGAAGGTCAGGGCTGTGTGTGCTTCCTCCATCCCTCAGGGAGTCCTGGAAGTTATGGCTTGTCTTCCACTCCTGTCTCCCCAAAAGCAGCCAGCACCAAGTCTGGTACCCCGGGAGCTTAATAAATGCATGTGGACTAATTGTTTTCCCTCCACCAGAGGGGATAGGAACAGCCACCCCACATTTGCTTCCTGTCCCCCACCCCCCCCTCCCCACTCAAGCCTTCAGACTTTGGTTCTTCCTGGGCACCATGCACAGCCAGGTACGGCCTCTGCATGTAGTCAGTGTATAACCCTAACCCTCCCTCCTACTTGACCACGTTGCTGGACCACCTGGCCCTTCTGGAAGCTGCAGCCAGGGCTCCCGGGGGGAAGCTGGAGCCCTGGGCACAGACAAAGAGGCATAATCATGGACAAGAACCTAGGGCACTGGCCTGCTTTGCCTGGCTGTGTGACCTCAGGAAAGTAACTACCCCTCTCTGGGCCTCAGTCTGAAGGTCTGACCAGTGAGGGAATGGGACAGATGAGCAGGGTCTCTGCTGGTAGGAGATGGGCCTAGCCTGGCTATGTGGGCCTGTTCTCCTCTCCCCACCCCTAGGTGCTGCCATGCCCATGACTGCTGCTACCAGAAGCTCTTTGACCAGGGTTGCCACACCTACGTGGACCATTATGAGTACAGCATCGAGAATAATACTACGATTGTCTGCAGTGAGTCCCTCCCCCGACATCTGCCCCAGCCTGTGCTGGGGCCCTGTGCAGGGCTGCCAGATGAAATACCGGACGCCCAGTTAAATTTGAAGTTCAGATAAACAACGAAAAATGTTTACGCAGAAGTATATCGTAAACATTTCATGGGATACACTTATGCTAAAAATTTAATATTAGCATAATGCCAATTAGTGTTAGTATAGAATTTAAGAATTAGCATAAGTATGTCCCATGCAATATTTGGGATATACTGATACTAAAAATATTTGTTTGTCTGAAATGCAAATTAACCAGGCCTCTTGTTTTATTGTTTGTTCAATCTAACAACCCTCGCCGTGGCTCTGGCACATCTCCCTGGTATGTTCTGATCCCCAAGCCTGACGTGGTCCCCATTTCTCTCGTCCTGGAGATTCCTCAGCTCTGTAGATTCTGATTCAGTGGGTCTGGGTGGGGCCCAGGAATCTCTTAGGTGATTTCGAGACTTTATGACACTGGCCTGGGAGCCGGGGGTTGGGGGTTTAAAGCCGGGTTCTGCCAGCATCTCCTGACCCTGTAGCCCTGGGCAGGGCCCTTCCCTACCTGGCTTCAGTCTCCCCATGGGTACATGAAGGGGGTTGGTTCCCTTTCAGTTCTGTCACTGGGACCCCACCAGAAGGTGGCGCCATCCCAGGACTCTCAGAGTTTCCAGATTTCAAGCTATTGGAGTCAGGCCCGGTGGAGTTTCCTCCTTTACCAGGACTCCCCATGGTCTTTTCCCAACGGGTGCAGTATCCAAGCTAATGGCCCAGGCGTCCCTGCCCTGCCTCCCCTATGCGCCCCTCCCTGGGGCAGCAGGTGTCCCCAATCCCATGCTGTGGGCAGCCTGAGCTCCCTTTGTCTCCTTTCTTAACCAGGCTCTGCTCCTAGTCCCTCACTAACAGCTCACCAGCAACCCCAGCTTTGCAAAGAAACTCGTCTCCTGTTCTCTGGGAAAGAATCTGGAGCTTGGGGGGTGGGGGGAACTGGGTACACCTGGGCCCTTGGGAACTCCGGGCTCTGTGGGCCTCCTATGCTGCTGTTCAAACATGGGGCCGAGGGGCTGGCTTGAAAGAGGGGGTGTCCCTCCATTTAAACCCCAAGCAGTGGTTTTCATGGTAACTTCTGGGGATTCCTGGGGCAGGGGGAATAGCTGCGGTAAGAGGTGATGGTGGGGGGTGGTGGGGGATGGGGGTCCCTGAGTGGCCCGCTGGCCCTTTAATGTATATTACAGTTTAAGAGGCTTCTCTTTCAGCTGTTTGATGCATTAGCCTTCGGCAAAGAGTTTCGTTTAAGAGAAAGGATTCTGTTGATGGAAAGGTTGAAATATTTGCAAACCATTGGCTAGTGGGTGGTTCCCAAAGGGTGTTTCCCCAACCTGGGGCATCTGCATCCCCATGGCACTTGTCAGAAACGCAGATTGCCAGGCCCTGCCTGACCTACTGAGTCCGAAGCTCTAGGGGTGGGGCTGGGCAGTGTTTTCACAAGCCTGCCAGCTGGCTCGCACGCACACCTCCGGTTGGGAATTGCTGGGGTAAATGATTTCCGGAGGCTAATGTTAATAACAGCAGCAGTGGCTACCATGCATCAGGCATTTGCTCCGTGGGAGGAAGTGCTTTCCTCATTGGATCCTTAGCACGAACGCCCTCCAGGGTGGGTGTCCACAATTCTGTGATGGGAGAGAGTTCCTGACACCGGAGTTCTCGTCCCAGCTCTGCCTTGGGGGTGTTGGTGACTTAGGTAAACCCATCCCCCTCTGAGCCTCAGTTTCCCAACGATGCAACGACAGGCGGGCCTTGCGTGCCTCTCCAAGGTTCGCATGCACACAGCCACCTGGCGGGCTGTTAATGCAGGCTGCCCAGCCCAGCGCTTTGGCGCTCACAGGCCTGGGGTGGGCCTGCGGGGGGTGCTGGTGCAGCTGGCCCCGGACCACTGGACCCTCAGAGTGCATGCACTCCCCTCCCCATAGGAGATCGCAACCAGACGGACTGCGACAGGCAGACCTGCGAGTGCGACAAGAGCGTGGCTCTGTGCTTCCAGAGGCAGACGTACAATGAGAAGCATCGCAACTACCTCAACATCTACTGCCAGGGCACCACCCCCAACTGCAGCATCTACGAGCAGCCCAAGAAGGAGACCTGTAGCCCCGCCTCCTCGCCACCCCCTGCACTGCCCTAGTGCCCTCTGGGGGCTGACAGAGAAGAAGGGTGGCAGTTCCTGCTCTGGGGACCAGGCACATGGAGCAGGCAGAGGTGGGGGTGGACCTGGAGCCTATGGGCTACCCTGCCATCTTCTCCCTGGAGCCCTCCAGCAAGGCTGGTCCCCAGAGGATTCAGGAAGGCCTGGGCCCTGACTGTGGCCACCGGGGTCCTCCAGCCCAGGACTGGGCATGTCCGTGTCCTGCTGTTGGTCCTGGACTTGGCAGGGAACGTGTGGCTTGTTGGCGTCACTCCTGAGTGTGGAAGACGAGACCTGAGAGAGAGGCCCCAGGCCCCCAGGTCTCTGACAAACACAGGAGAAGGCAGGGCCCAGCCCTCAGCCTCTCCCCCTGCACCTCCCCTCATGCAGCAGCCAGGCCAGTGGGTGGAAAGACCTTAGGCCTGGGGAGGAAAGGCTGAGGGCTGGGACCCTCCTGGGTGAAAAGGGAAACAAAGGCCCAGGCAGGAAGCTGAGCAGAAGATTCAGGGAGGCCGGGAGGGAGCAGCCTGGGGAGGAGGAAAGGGTAGGGAGAAGGGGAGAGAGGGGTGAGGGTCAGATGTCTAGACCAGAGGTGTGGAGCTGGGTTGAAGAGCCTGAAGGTGGAGAGGAGGAGTGAGGGTCACATTTTTTGAGGAAGGGGCTCCTGCAATCCAGAGGTTCTCTCCTTCCTTACGAGTCCTTTCAGCTTAGTGAGATCTTTTATGCTAAGGTTTGTGGACGGGGCTGCACCTGCTTTACATTGGTCTAGGAGCTGCCATTGCCGAAGGGGTTCTCCTTGGCCAATCTTCACTCAGGCTCCTGAGACCTCTTACCAACCTTTGGGTTTCCATGTCCATCTCAGCATCACCTAGCTGTAGCAAGAATCCTGCCTTGTCATTTTAGCAAGAATCCCCACCCACCATTAATGTCTGACCAGATTCCACATCCTCCATCGTCTGATCTGGCCTGCCCTCAGCAAGAATCCTATTAGGTCAGTGTAGCAAGAATTATCTTACCCTCTTAGCAATTGTCCATCCCCCAACCCACCTCCGGCTCCTCTAAATCCCCACTTAAGAAGAATGTGGCTTTGTGATTGTTGTATTAAGAATGGAGCCCAGTGCTATACTGCCCCCTGTTGCAGTAGTCTTGAATAAAATCTGTTTCTACCACTGAACCGACTGCCCAGCATCTGGTTTTCTAAGGGCCGTGGCGCCATGACTTGGGTGATACCTGAGTCATCATTGGACCCCAGGCCTCTCCGCCAGGACCCCAAGTGTGCACCTTGGAAGCCTTTGTCTGGTGCATCAGGGTCCATTGGTGAGTCCAGCTCCTGAGCCAGGGCTGGGGATCAGTGCCTGCTGCCGTGTGGTGAGGACAGGCTTTGATTCCTAAGGTTCGAGTTTCTCCCTGAAGCAGGTTAGAATTCCTGGCTGATGTGTTTGAAAAGTGCCTGCTGGGCCGGAAGTCATCCTTCCAGACTCTTCCTTTTGAGGAGGGAGGCATTCCCTAACTCTCTAGGCTGGACATTTTCCCCTGGCTCTTTGGAAAGCGTCTCTGTTCTCCCTATTTGATCCTGCTCCTCCCAAAGGAACTTCCTAGTCAACTGAAACCCGACTTCTCAAATCCCTGCTGAATTTGGAACTTCGCTGTCTTCTTTGGGAAACTTGAGGCCTCCACAAACTGGTTCCTCTAAGGCCTGTTCCTTCCCATCTCCCTCTCTTACCACCTTTGGTCTTCCCTTCAGTACCCGTGCATCTATTCATAGGACCTTCTTTAAATCTCTACCTTCTCACCCCTCTGTCCACCCCGCCATCCCCTTTCCCTGCCCACGCCAGTCCCTCAACTTCCTACAGTCACTTGAATCGCTTCTGCACACCCCCGAGCCTATTAAGGAGCCCCAACAGGACTCAGGGGTCCCCGAAAGCAACTCCTAAAGCTAAAAAGGAAAAAGGCTCATTGGAAACAGACTGGACATTTTGTCCATTCAGACGGGCCTCGGGGACATCCAGATGACTGCTGGATGTCCCCTGAGTCTCTTGCCTAAAATGCAGTCCACAGCCTTTGTAAGATTACATATTAGGACACATGAAAAACCATAAAAGTCCTTTCCATAAATATTGGTACAAAGCGTTAGCCCTCATGTTGAATCAGTAACCTCAATTTGTTTCATCTGCCAAAAACATAATTTGGATAAGTAATATAAAATGGAGCAGAGATGTGATCTATTTTATTTAAACCAATGACTCTGTATCACTATGTTTTACTTAATCATGGCTAAATTTTTAGAATGAAACCTATTAAGATCTGTTTTATCATCAGTATGTGTGTATGTGAGTATGTAATGTATGTGTAATATTTTCCTACTCAAGATGGTATTACCAAATTCATTTATAAAGCTCCCATTCAAAATGACTTCGAGATAAATAAGCACTTACATACATTCAGTATTCCTAAAATACTCAAAAATATAGAAACTAACCCAATATTTTTACGCCCGTGTTCAAAGATTTGAGCAAATCTTTGATAAATAAGACCAGTTTAATATCACTGGTTTAACAAAAACAGCCATGTCTTCGGAGTTATCAGCAGTAAAGTATAATATGAGCATACACTTTATTCTACTCAGGTTTACTAGTTAAATAGGATAACATCATATCTACTAGATGCTTTCAATTATAAATATTATAAATTCAATGTAAGAACAAGTGCACAAGTAAAGATACAGCAAGAATGAATTCTTTGGCCCTAACCGGTTTGGCTCAGTGGATAGAGCGTCGGCCTGTGGACTGAAGGGTCCCAGGTTCGATTCCAGTCAAGGGCATGTACCTTGGTTGCGGGCACATCCCCAGTGGGAGGTGTGCAGGAGGCAGCTGGTCAATGTTTCTCTCTCATCGATGTTTCTAACTCTCTATCCCTCTCCCTTCCTCTTTGTAAAAAATCAATAAAATATATTTAAAAAACAATGAATTCTTTGATTCTACTACTTCATGTAGACCAAACACCACAGTAAACCAAGAAACCCATGTCTTTAAGTTTTTTAGGATTTGGCTTTTATGATACTTGCCTAACATGCATGGACTATAAAAACAGTTAGCAGGGGAATAACCTGAGATGAGGCTAGCTTTGTTTAATGTTGTAAGATGTCCGCCTAAAAACAGTTTCCAAACTCTTTTTAGTAACTTGTAACCTCAGAGTTATGTAAAATGAAATTAAGGGATCAACAGACATTAAATATATAGATCATTTCTAAGTAAGTTAAACTATTGAATATGAATTACCAAGCATAAGTTTAAGCTTATATACTTTTGGCTTCTTTTTATATGGGATAGAGAAATACATTTGGGTCTCTTAATAAACATAAAAAGTTATTAGAGAAAATTGTGAGATGGTATATTTATAAAATTTGCTAATTTACTGTAGAATGTTGCTATGTGGAAGCCAGTTAACAATGGTCTATTTCCTTGTATCCACTGGAAATGAAGGTTACTCAGGGTTAAGAATTCTAATTAATATATTTAAACAAAACTACTAGGAATAATAAAGATGAAGAAAAAACTGTAGGCAAAATATGCAAGAATGTAGGATACATTTTCGTTTTTTAAAAAAGGAGAGTAATTTGTTTTAAAGCCGTTGTTCAGAGGGTTTTTAAAAATTGTTACAGAATGAGAAAGAGAAAAAATGTAGGACAAAACAATTTTTGAGTGGATATAGAAGGTTGTAAAGGGTTTGTGGAGAAGGAATTTTATAGGCAGTCAAGCTGGGTAAGATCGAACTGATTTATTTATAAGGTTTTTAAAAATGAGCACACCAATATATGAATGCAAAACTAGAATTTGGCTTTCTCAGTTAAAACAGCCAAGTTTTCTTAGATCATTTGTCTGCTCTTTATAAGAGCTTGTAAAAGATTTTGCTTTACCTCTTGAGTAAACTGTACAGGAAACAAAGATTTTGTGTTTTATTGGAATTGATGTCTCACTTTTAAAAGAGCAAAGGGTTCTTTTTGTTTGTTTGTTTTTATATTTTTGACAATTTTGCTTTTCCCAAATCAAGTCCTAAATGAAATCTTGATCTCAAACTGGCCCTTTCAGGGGGCCTGGAAAATCTCAAAGGATTTGTTCTTCTACCTTGTGAAAAGAGAGATGCTAAAAATAATTTGGTTTACTTGACAAATTAAATTGTATGACAGGCATCAAATAAGAGATGCTTTAGCTTTTACTAAGTTATATTTGTATGGGTAAATATTTAAAGTAGTATAAATATTTTTAAAAACATATGAAGTTCAGCCCTGGTTGGTGTCTCATTTGGTTGAGTGTCGTCCCATGCACCAAAAGCAGTTGTGGGTTCCATTCCCAGTCAGGGCACATACCTAGGTTGTGGTTCAATCCCAGATCAGGGTGCGTACAGATAGATGTTTCTCTTTCTCATCAATGTTTCTCTGGCTCGCTCTCTTTCCCTCCTTCTTTTCCGCTCACTCTAAAAAAATTAATAAACAAATCCTTGACTGAGGATTTAAAAAATGTGTGAAGTTCACGTAAATTTGTCAATGACCTTGCTGTCCATATGTCCTGGTACAATGTTATCAGTCATGATTCCAGTTATTATCTGAATATGTTGCATCTTACAGAGACAACCACATTTCCTTGGCAATTGGATTATAATACATCCTCACCAGATCTTTAAGCATGGCCAGCTTAAGCCTTTTGTCATTTACAGCTAGTTATTGTTTTTCTCTGATGCTTTCCTGGAAGCCCTTGCAATCAACTGGGAGCCAAAATACTTAGTCTTCATCCGAAAGGACTATTTCTGAGACCCAAGGAAAGAACTATAACAGCTACTCTGAGGAACAAGCTTCTGATGACATTGGCCAACTTTGAGATCATACCAGTGGACTGGGTAAGGATGTGAGGACTAGCAGAAAAGCTGCTAACCAACCAAGATCAAACCAACACTAATGAATTACATGGGATTGCGTTAACCAATGACAGATGGTTATTTGGAACATTTCTGCTTCTTTATTTAATGTTTTAATTTTTTTTTGGATTTAAGGAACTCCTTTCCCTGTTATATTAAGTTACCTATAACTCAGGACCATTTAGTAGAGTACACGTCCATAAGCAGAAATGAAACATTTATCTTTTCTCCCTAAATGACCCCTCCAGAATTTGAAAGCCCTTATTGCGTATTCCTATTTCCATGACAACATAAAAATTCGCACAAGTGCAATAAGAATCTGCTTCCTTATAACAGAACATAATTGGAGACATTGGTTCCATTACCAAGGCTTGACTGGAATATCCCATTTGAGAACGATGTGTACAGAGGCTATGATTTAAATAACTGGAGATGACTGTAGGGAGCCAATGCTTGCAAAGCCCTCTAGGAAAAACCAGCCCAGTGCCTGTAAAGATGAGTAAGGAAGCCAATCCCTGCCAGACCCAGGAGAAAGGATGTCTTGGAGGCCTCGAGAGGAGAGGACTTGACCCATAGCTATAGGGGCTGCAAGAAAAATCTGGTGGTGAGTCCCTGGCTTCACTTCCTAGCCTTGTGAGGCTTTTAAAAATCTAGTCAGATTCGTCATGAAAGGTTTCAGCAACACAAACTCAAAAAGGCCTACGTGGTCAATTACCATTCTTGCCGCCCTTCTGTGAATAATCTAAAGAGATCAGACTTATTTTGTAAACACTAATCAAAAAAAAAAAAAAAAAGGGAGGGATTTCCCTAGCCAATTTGGCTCAGTAGAGTGTTGGCCTGCCAATTGAAGGGTCCCGGGTTTAATTCTGATCAAGGGCACATGCCCGGGTTGTGGGCTCGATCCCCAGTAGGGGGCGTGCAGGAGGCAGCTGATCAATGATTCTCTCTCATCATTGATGCTTCTGTCTTTCTCTCCCTCTACCTTCCTCTCTGAAATCAATAAAAAAAAAATATTTTTTTTAAAGAGGGAGGGATTACTGTAGAGATACACAGCACAACCTCATGGCTTTTAAATCATAGTCATGTTCATTGTCCTTGAGCTAGTTTTTTGCCTCTGGGTTAAACTACATTTTCCATTCTAGTTTATTATCCACCTGTACAGGCAGGAGTGTGCCCTGGATCCTGCCATTTTGCACCTTCTGTCAATTCTTCTGGTTTCCTTCAAGATCTGGTTACAACTCTCCATAAGAACATGTCCAGTTT